GTGTCGAGAATACCGACTAATTTGTCAATCGAAATTTTTTTGTTTTCAATAACCTCTGTGTCAATTTCTTCACTATCGGAAGCGAATTATAATGACAAGGAATTTGATTTAAATTATATCAAAGATGGAGTACATCGAAATGAAATACTACATTTAGTAAGGAATTATAAGCCAAATAAAATAAAAACATCTGCCCTGAAGATAAGGATAGTACTGACAGATCAACTTCCAATTCATTGCGCACCACGCCGCGCCATCCCCTCCCCTGCAGAGCAGCGTGAAATTGATAAACAGATTTAGGAATGGTTAGAGAAACAAAGGATATGCCTTTATCCATTTTTTTGCAGCAATTCCACTTTTTGTTTGATGGACATCAAAACATGCTTTCGCTTTGTAGATCCTTTGGCAGCACCAGCATCGGAAATTCTATTTTACATAATCGAAAGTTCAAGCTTACTTTTATAAAATTGCTCTAAGAGTCTGCAAAAGATAATAAGCCGGATCCAATTCGAAGATTAAGGAACAACGCAATCTGCAACATTAACTGAAATAGATAATTAGATAATTTTAACTTAGCTTATACCGTCCATTATACATTAAATGCACATGCGTAAACGTATTATGTGCATGCGCAGAAAGTTTGTAGCTTTGATGTCCAGATTATAGATCATTCTGGATTATGGGTGTCCGGATTAATGACTTTTGACTGTAAATATATACTAAACTCAATTAGCATTGAGGAGCTAAACTTATGAGAGATAATTTTTTAAAAACTACTTGTGCGATTTTTACAAAACTTGGCAGTTTGGCATAATTTGAGTCATAGAATCGAAATATGGAAAAAAAATGTATGTTGTTTCAGAAAAAATTCGATTTTGTGTCAAAATACCTATACTAGAAAAATGTTATATATAAATCTAATACATATCCTATGGCGCGCTTTCGAGACACGAAAAACACAAGTTGAATTTCGTCAATCGGCCCACGAGAACGGGAGTTATAGGAACTGTCCCCCCTTTTTTTTGCGCAGTGTACATACATATATACATAGATATATGAACGCATACCTCCAGAACCAAATGCATTTTAATCACAAGATGTCTAATTAGAAATATTAAAAGTTTTTATGAAATTACCAGAGCTGGACACATTAAATCATTACATATTTTTTCCATTTTAATAATTCCTATTTTAGACAAACAGGCATGCAAGCGGCTAGTTATTCAGAAAAACTAATTAAAATTTAAAAAAAAAAAAAAAAATACGCTGAAGAGTTCTTATCTCATGTGTAATTATCAAGGCTGTGAAGTCGGAATCGGGCAGATTTTGGGGTAAAAGGAGGCGGAGTTGAAGTCGCTTCTAACAGGTCGACTCCGACTCCAATTTTTATTGGACAGTTTGAATTTGAAATGAAATAAAAATGAATTGAAAAAATTAATGACAAGCTGAATTATTTTTTATGGCTTATATATATCAATAAATAGTTATTTTCTATTTTATTGGCATATTAATAAATATAAGAGAGGAGGATGGATGTGATATTTGCCATTAATGATTAAAGTGATTCATTTAGTTACAGATCTCACTGCTAAATTTAGGTAAGCAGCAATAGCAGCAAGAACTCCCAAAATTGATACCATTCTTAGGAAGGGAGCAGGAAAAGGAACAATTATTGATCAAACAATGCTATAAGGAAGTACAGTCAAAAGTCGTTAATCCGGACTCGTCGGGACTTCGGCGATTCCGGATTATAGATCATCAGTTTAAATCTCGTAAGATGGTATGCAGAAATTCTAAAATTAAAAATATGAAACCGTAATTTATTAAATAAAGAACAATTATGATCTAAAGGGTATCAAAATTTACAAAAAATAAAGCTTAATATTTATTTGTTTACTTTATTCAACATTTCTTTCAACGTAAGTTGTTTAAAAGTGCTTCATTTTATGTGATAATACTTTCTCTTTAATTCTATAAACAGACAATTTCTTGTTCAGTTACAAAGTTCCGCTGTTCAAGTCCCGTTAATTGCTGTGCCGAGAATACCGACTAACTTGTCAATCGAAATTTTTTCGTTTTCACTAACCTCTATGTCACATTCTTCATGTCTTTATCCATTTTTTGCAGCAATTCCACTTTTTATTTGTTGGACATCGAAACATACTTTCGTTTTGTAGATCCTTTTGAAGTTCCAGCATCGGAAATTCTATTTGACATAATCGAAAGTTCAAGTTTACTTTTATAAAATTGCTCTTAGAGTCTGCAAAAAATAATAAGCGGGATCCAAGTCGAAGATTAAGGAACAACGCAATCATTAACATTAACTGAAATAGATAATTAGATAATTTTAGCTTACACCGTCCGTTATACATTAAACGCACAGGCGAAAACGTATTCTGCACTTGCGCACATGCATATGCACAGTAATCAAGGTCTTACGCGCACATGTAAAACGCCTGTGCGCATGTGCCAATGCGGTGCATGCGCAGAAAGTTTTTAGCTTTGAGGTCCGGATTATAGATCATTCCGGATTATGGATGTCCGAATTAACGACTTTTGACTGTATATACAGTACAAAGTCCGTAATCCGGAAAAATCTATAATCCGGACCTCAAAGCCACAATTTTTTTTTTTGTATGCTTTACGCATGTGCATTTAATGTATAACGGATGGTATAAGCTAAGCTAAAATTATCTTTACTGATTCTAAGGCATTTCAGTTAATGTTGCAGATTGAGCTGTTCCTTAATCTTCAAATTGGATCCGGCTTATTTTTCTTGCAGACTGCTAAAGCAATTTCATAAAAATTAAGCTTGAACTTTTAATTATGTCAAAAAGAGTTTCCAATTCTGGAGCCACCAAAGGATCTACAAAGTGAAAGCATGTTTCGATGCCCATCAAACAAAAAGTAGAATTGTTGCAAAAAACGGATAAAGGCATATCTGTCTCAAAATTATGCGAGGATTATGATATTGGAAAGTCAACTGTATATGACATAAGCAAAAAGAAAAAAGAACTTTTGAATTTTTTGTGGATTCTGACACCCCACTTGCAATGAATAAAAGAAAAAGGTTTCGTTATGCTAAAAGTAATGATTGAAAGGGCCAGACAGCATCACAGCAAGGATAAATGCTAATGCCTCAAGCATTTCAAGTCCAATGCTAATGCCTCAAGCCAAAATATTTCATGAAGAAATGAACTTAAACACAGTGCACGTATTCGACAGGTCGGTTAATCAAATTTTAAAATTTCTATGGTATAAGACAATTAAAAATTTCAGGTGAAAAGGCTTTAGCTGATTCTGAAGCTGCTGAACAATTTGCAGATGAATTCATTGAACTCATTACTAGTGAACAATTATCTGCAGAACAAATTTACAATGCTGATGAAACTGGTCTTTTCTGGCAATACGTACCGTGAAATACCTTGGCAAACTTTACAGAAAAGGCTCCAACTGGTGTCAAAGATTCCAAAATGAGACTAACAATTTTAGCGTGCGCAAATGCTGCAGGAATGCACAAGTGCAAACTTTTTGTAATCGTAAAACATGCATGACCTTGAGCATTTAAAGGAGTAATGATTTTCCCCGTTATATATCACGCAAATAATTTTAAATTTCTATGGTATAAGACAATTAAAAATTTCAGGTGAAAAGGCTTTAGCTGATTCTGAAGCTGCTGAACAATTTGCAGATGAATTCATTGAACTCATTACTAGTGAACAATTATATGCAGAACAAATTTACAATGCTGATGAAACTGGTCTTTTCTGGCAATATGTACCGCGAAATACCTTGGCAAACTTTACAGAAAAGGCTCCAACTGGTGTCAAAGATTCCAAAATGAGACTAACAATTTTAGCGTGCGCAAATGCTGCAGGAATGCACAAGTGCAAACTTTTTGTAATCGTAAAACATGCACGACCTTGAGCATTTAAAGGAGTAACGATTTTCCCCGTTATATATCACGCAAATAAAACAGCATGGATGAAACAAGCGTTGATGAATGATTGGTTTGAAAATCATTTTATAAACGAGGCTCGGCGACATTTGAATTCGGTTGGTTTACCTGATGACTCAAAAATTGTCCTGATTGTTGACAACTGTTTGCCGCATACTTCACTTAAAGTTTTAGTGAAAGATAATATATCCGTATTATTCTTCCCTCCAAATTGCATGTCTATCATTCAGCCTATGGATATGGGAATAGTGCACCCACTGAAATGCAAATATAAAGTAGCATTTTTAAAACCTATGTTAAATTTCTTGAACAATGGCAAGATTATTCAAGACTTTTTAAAATTTTTTAGCATAAATTTAGCATAATTTGTTAGCATTTTTGGAAAATATTGAAAAGGCTTAGGCAAAGTGAATGAAAATAAAGAACCAAGTGCCTTCAGATATAAAAATGAAAAAATACAAACAAGATTTCTTTATGACCTTTGAAGAACTAGAGAAACGTGATAGCGCTTGCAAGACACCTCTTTTAGAACTTATAAAAAAATCTATCCTGAAAAGTTAAAAGAAGTAGCCCTAACATTAATAGCTCTTCATCCTACTCAAGTCAGTGTGGAAAGACTCTTCTCAGCTTAAAGTTTATCAAATCTCTGGCCCTCCCACAAAGATCTTCCCGAAGATATACTGTTTCTGAGAAATAACTAATGCCAGTTTCTCCATTTCATAATAAATGCTAATTAATATAAATAATTTGCTATGCCATCATTTTTTTTTCTGTAGCATCTATTACTTCTTTTATATTAAAAAAATAAGCTGTAACCCATGTGTATATGTTTACATATATATATGTGTGGGAGTCGGAGTCGGTCATTTTCTGCACTGACTCCACAGCCCTGGTAATTATAACAGTTTACCCAACCCTACAGGTACTGTTCATGCATTTTCTTTCATATTTATCATCACTGCAGCAGCTTGTACACTGATGCATAGATGATAGATAAAGTTCAACAAAAATTGATATAAAAATATATCTCTCAGTTACATACCGAAGACAAGATAATGCCTTTATAATTCTTTTTTTCCAGTTCCTTTATAGCTGCTGTCAACTGCTGAAGTAATTCCAAGTTTAAACTATTCACTGGCTGTCTCTGCATTACCACATTTGCTGTCTCTACATATAAAAGTAAGACAATAATTATTTAAATGTAATTAATTATAGTTGTAAATAGAAATATACAAATTTCTAAATTTATTTAAAATTAATGAAGAAATAAATGGTTAAGTTTATGGAAAATGCTTAATGGGCATTTCTTCTTGAAATTAAAAAAAAAAAAAAAAAAAAAAAAAAAAATGTTTAATTACCTTCAAATTCCCACCTATTTGAACCAGGGTTGATGCAAATTTGAGCCGCTGGGCAGCAGATTTTAGCTGTGCCAACATACTAAATAAAGTAAGCAGCAAAAAGTTTAGTGCCAGCCCTGATCAAAACATACACATGTGCTCTAGTGCTCCTATCATTAATAATAGTAGGATTGAGAGAATATCTTCTCTGGCTAGAGGTTTGCAATTCATTCATAAACTGATTAAGAGGGCCTATGTATTTTATGGAGCGATAAAATGGAGCAGTGTTTCCTCCCAGAACTCTTGTTGGATGAGAACTAGGAAAGTTAGATTTCCATTTTAGGAAAAAATGGTTCTCTCCCCAGGCTAAAAGAGAGTTTAATTTTTATTATTACCAAATTTTTTGTAACACCTTCTTTTTATTACATGTTATTATTAGTTTTATGTAGAGAAGGGATCTTCAAAACTACACTTAAAAGAAACCAATCCAGAAATTTAGTGGGAAAGAATAAAACAAGGAGATGGATTGAGAGATTGAGTCAATTCTCCCAATCCTAACCCATGTTTGATTCTTTCATCTCTCACCTTTGTCTTTGCACATTGCTCTTGATTCACTCCCTCTTCCTAATCTCTTTAATCAAAGTTTCTGTTAGCTAGTCATAAAAGAGTGCCAATTTAGTTTACTGGATGAATGGTTATGAACTAATCCTATAGTTTCTCCTACCTCTGTTTCTGGCATATGTTACAGACTGATGGTGTTGTTTGAATATCTTGAAATACTTGAAAACATTAACCCTAATAGAACCATCTAGATAACTGAAGATAGTTAGTCTATATTTAGGGTATCCTTTGGATTATTGTTAAGTTGTTGTTTCATTTATGGTAGGTAACTGAGTAGTTGAATGTTATGGAAATCCAATTATGATGTGATTGGTTGCATGATTACAGTGAATTTGACTAATGGAAAGTATTTGTAAGGACTTATTTATGCATTGAATGTTGGCTAGGATGTACGTTGCTTATTTTGTGCTTTACACCATAAAATTTTATTGCATTATGTTTTAGTTGCAATTTTACTGCGGAGGGCGTTGGATGTAAGCAGGTATGGCACCAATATATTTTTAACCAGAAGATAATGAAGATTCTAGATTAAGAGGATCAGTGGGTGAGAATTCTGGAAAATAATGTGATTGTGGCACAATAGGAATTTATTTCTGATCACACTAACCCAAATATATCATTATAACAAATGGCCAAAATATAGTATATCGCCAAATGGTTAAAAGATGCTTAAACTCTATCTGTGTTAAAACACAAACTATGCTGTCCTGGATGATGCCACTTAATACATGCCTTCTAATGGCTATGTATAAGCACTGCAACATGACTTTTCTGAGCAAATTTTGAACATAGAAATATTAGAGCTTTCATGTCTTTCTAATACTCATTGGTTTTTATTGAAAAAGCTTATAATACATGCAGAAATTGTTGTTCGTACATTTAAATAGGCCTTTCTGTAAATTACCAAGCAGATAATAACAAAAAAAGAAAGGTAATTTGATTTGCCATTTACCTTCCCCCAACCTTTATTTTTAAAGTTTGGAGAAATAGAAAGAGAGATATGAAAACCATGACTTATGCCATACAAAAATGCATCTAATTGCTACTATTTATAAAAACAGCAGTTTGCTAAATGAAATAAAAGCAAGTTAAGCAGTTAAAAATATTAAAAAAATTTTCGAACCTCAACCTTTTCCTGGAGGATGGGACATATATGTCCCACACATTCATTACATTAAATAAGGCTCAAAGAAAGTTTACTATGAATTTTGCTACTCAGTGTAGAGCAGAAATGGCAGACCTTGCTGACTTGTTTTTCTGTGAATAGTTGACTAAATAGCTTCAATACATAAAAAATTACTGTCCATGAGAAAAGGTTAAATGAAGACGAACAGGTGCATCTTTTTCTCATTATTAACCCATAGAAAAATATATTCTTGCAGATAAGTTATCTTGTTTGTCACTGTCTCTTTTTGTTCAATGTTTTTTTAAAAAAAGTTGAAAACTAATCTAGATATTTTCCTTCACTTACAGGTGATTAGTTTAAAATAAAATTATATGAGTTTTGTAATGAATTCAATGTAACAGATGCACTGTGTATTTCATTTCATTCTGTTCCTTTTCTTGTGTAATGTTAAAAACCTAGATCTTGAAGTCAAATGCTCATGTGCTTTGCCTTGATTAAAATTAACTAACAAATTTTAAAGTTATATGAACATCTCATGTACCCCTTTTTATGAAACATCAACTTATTTTTTTTGTTACTGATAAAAAGTTAACTGTAACAAACTTGTCAAAAAGGAATTCCAAGCACTATTTTCAGTTCACTGTATTACAGAATTGATATGGTTGATCTTTACATTATGGTAACTTGGCGATTTTTTTGGCGAAAATTTGGCAACCAACTCTCCTACAGCAACCCTCTATTATTTTTTCCCCGCCGCCATTTTTTCTTCACGAAGTAAAGACATGTTTCTTTTCTTCTTATCTACTGAACACTTCTTCCAACAATCTACTAGCCGAATTACACTTTTGCTAGAAATTTTATCAAACAAAACTGCTTAATCATGACAAATATTCACTGCAAAATTGGGAAAAAGTGCACAATACCATACTCCTTACGCGTTTTTCAAAATAACACATACACATAAACCATGTACACACCGACTTATTTTTACTTAAAAAAACATCCCAGAATTGCACAAAAATGGCATTGCGCACACTCTTCACTATATCCATGTACACTGCTTTTTCTCATAAATTAGAAAAATTTCACGAAAATACATGACAATTTTCTCAATCTTTAAACCCGGTAAAAAGAACATATATGAAATTACCTGATCGCGAAAAAGTATTTACCCTTTACAAATATGAACATTTCCACATATAAAATAAATAAAATATCCAAAAACTTTTACCTCTAAATCATCTATTACATTATACACGTCACCAACGAATTCATACCGCAAGTATTACAAATACTTAGTATCAAATATTTAAATTATTTCCATGCACGTTTATTTCAACTTAAACGTATACCAAATTCCTACAAACATAAAATTCACAAAATAACTATCATTTCATTAAAATATAATTAAATTCAAAAACACTACTTAAAATATACATGAGCACATACATTAAATTAATAAAAATTACCTTACAATCCTAATTACTTTAAACTAAATCATTGCTAATAACAATTTCCCAATAATACCAAATTCCTTTCCACCTTACGTTTAGAACAATGCATAAAAATAATATCCTCAAATAATTAAAAATACTAACTTACCTAATCTTCTTCAGAATCTTGATTACGTGGCGGATACACTTTTCTAATTCATTCAATAAAATTATTGAAATATTTTTTCTGCGAATTTTTCCTCCATACTTCCTCCACTAAATAAAAGCAAACTTCTCTTTATCACAATGCCTAAATACCCATTTCAAATTCACTTTAGTTAGGGCCATGGGATCCAAAAATTACACAACACTGTTTCACACAACACAGAATAAAGCTAAATACAAAATTTCCACATTTTTTCCCGATTTCCCCCCTTTTCCGATTAAAGAACCGTAATTCGTCACATTCATAATTAATATCACATGACATATCCCATGATCTCTCATTTCCCTCACGCAAAATAATGCGTAATCGGAACTGAGTACTGCTCACATTATTACCAAAGTCCCAGGTAGTAACCTTTATCGCCTCCAAAATGTCGCCAAACTACCAGTTACCATATTGTAAAGATCAACCATTGATATAATTTAAAGTCTTTAAGAATAACTGGTTGGATCATAGCAGAGCCGACACCCTTGGTGCGAATGATTTTGGTTATGGTATGTATCGATGTGTACATGGACAAAGTAAAGAGATTGTGCAATTCTCTGATGGTTTTTTAAGTGAAAATAGGGGTGAAGTGCAGAATTGCTCATTTATTTGGCACCTTTTACAAGAGTAAGACAAATTGGATTTTTGTCAATTTCCTTTGAATTTTTAAATGAAAATACATTGATGTGTACATGGACAAAGTCAAAAGAGTGCACAGTGCCGAATTTGTGCAATTCTCTGATGTTTAAGTTAAAATAGGTCGATGTGCACATGGATACTGAATTTGTGCAATTCTTAAAAATGTGCCAAGCAGTGGGTGATTTGCACTTTTCCCGAAAATAGGTCGATGTGTACATGGATATTGAGTTTGTGTAACTTGTTATTTTCAAGTTGGCGATTTTGAAAAATGCACAAAGCAGTGCACACTTTCCCAGTTTGTCTCCAAGGGTGCGGGCTCTCCTAGGATTTGACCAAATAACTTTTAAAGTGCTAAAAGAGAATTAATACTATCTTGCTGTTACTAAATTGTACATACTTTATAGCAAAAGTATTTCTTTTCAAATGAAGTTCTTTATTTGAGACAACAATCTAAAAACACCTTTTTTATCAATGAAAAATAACCTTTTGATTATATTTAATCATTGCAGACTTAAAAAATGCTGGATGATATGTCATAACCTAGAAAACGAAATATACCTGGCATGATAAAAGATAAGAATAACACAATTAACAAAATGCATAAGAAAACATTTTAAAACAATAACTGTGCATGGTCTGTTGATAATAAAGTTTCTCAGAGATTTATTACAGTGCATATTTAAATTGTTAACATTATATTTCATTTATTCTAAACAAGGCTAACTAACACGTTGTACCTTGTACATTCAGCTAACATAAAATTACACATGAAATATATTCATGCATTCAAGCAAGTCAATTAGTAGAAAGACCAGCTCATGGGAAAGTTAATATTGGATATTTTCATTCAGTATGAAAATACAGCTGTAATGAAAAGATGAAGTCACGTTATTTAAAAAACAAATCGCATAAGCCTTTTAATATACAAAATTATATTAAGGATCTCAGATTGGTATCGCTATACCAATTTAAGAGGGTTTTCAGCTTGATTTTACCCTTGTATGTGTCTCTTCCTTATTTACGTTCTTAGCTATCTAATCATTTATTTCTCTGAAAATAAACAATTTTCTCTATAGCGATATCATGCATTATTGTTTTAATGAGTTTTTAAGTCAACAAAACGTCTGACTGAAATAATTCACAAAGGAGTGCAGCATGTTACTCAATCGAGATAAAGAAATTACGAACTTTTTTTCTCGTCTTCGATCACATTAATAAACTGCTTTGAAGAATCTTGACTCATTTTTGCCACATTAACTGTTCGCAACAGTGTGAAGCATTTATATAATGGTCGAATTTTACTAAACATTATGAAATCAAAAAAAGAAAAATAACAACTTTTATCTACAAAATTACTTCCGGATTTTAAACGGAGATATCAAAAATCATTCGTCTACGATATTATTATGTTGCCAATTTAATAGAAACAAATATTAGGAATTCAGCGAAGGTTGAAACCAGTGATTGGCGGTTGAATAAACATTCATTTTCTTTTTCTTTCTTTCAGAGTTAAGATAAAAGAATAAAATAAATATATTAGAATTATAAATATTATAGTACATTTACTTATTTTAATAAGCATTGAAATGGAGCACGAAATTATTTTTATTGTATGTAATACATCATTAAATGACGGGATGAATTTAACATCCAATGTGATCCCTGCATCTTCCGCCTCTGACTCTACGGTCAAACAAGGAGAGATACATAATTGAATATTTTGTTGCTTTTATATAATATTAATATAAATCGTAATGCTTCAGAATTATAATGTTCGTCTTAAATTTTTTATTTCGCTTTCCTTCAGTGTCTTCCAAAGTATGGTGTATGAAAAAGATATATAGACGAAGTTTAGAATTTTCCCATCCTCGTCTGCTAGTGTTTTTACGTTTCCAGCAAAAGTATGAAATTTTAATTAAAGAATGTGAAACACATTTGCACATTTAGATTTGCCTGTTAAAATATATTTTCAAATCATCTCTATTAGTTGAAATTTTTGTTTGTTTTTCAAATATTGTGCGTCAATTTTTCAGTGTATATTTTAAAATGTGACCATGAAATGTTTTTATACTGTTGGATGACAGAATTTTATTCTCTAAATAAATATTAAAAGTAAAAATCGCTATAAAAGCCTGCTTATCAAGACTTAAGGTAATAATTTAAATTTTTATGTATTGGATTGTAAGATGTAAGATTATTAAACATTGTGCTTGTCGTATTATAATACTTTTTGATCATGAATTTTACAAAGTTAAAAATTTTATGTATGTATTAAAATATTGATGTTAGACAATGTAGAGATGTAGTCTCAAGCTCTATGTTGACTTGCAAAAAGGTTAAAAACCTTTTAGATTCTACTGTAGAAGAAATATGTTATTAAGTTAAATAAGAATATTTTACAATATATTTTTAAAAAATACCTTTATTCTGTTTCTTACAAAATTATGTATAACTTTTAGTCAAAGAAATAATTTAGCAGTTAAAAAATGTAGTTAACTACTAACATAAAAAGTGGTTTCAAAAATTGCTAAAAATAAATGTTTTTAAACTTTCTAACAGTCTGATATAGGCAGGTCATTCTCTCGCTTTTACTATTTAGTTAAACTAGTATCCCATTTTTTAACCCCCATTTAGCTTCTTATCAGATGCTGTTTTTCCTTAATCATACTTCTAGCCATATGTTCTATTGTATTTCAAATTGTCAGATTATTGAGGGGGCAATTTAATCACTTCAGACAACTATAAAGCAGCATATGTTCAGGCTGTTGTCTTGATGCTATTTAAAACTGTTCCATTACTGACTGTTTGAGCTAAATTTGGATGTTTCTAGACAAATGAATATTCACTAAAGCATCACCTCAAGAGTCGAACAGCTTTTTAGTCATTAGAACAGCTAGTCACCTTGTTACTCAAGATCATTCAAATATAATTTGAACATTTGAAGACCACTACTTCTCATTGCTGGCACTGAGAAAACATTATAAAAGCTAAGACCTGGGGTTCTCAGTCAAAGAGGAATTTCATAAATTCAGGTGATGCAGTCAGCCTTTTATTTAACTGCTAAGCATTTAGTTTATATATATAAAAAACTACTTTATACAAGTTTCGGTGTTTGTCAACAATTTGCATGCTTTTTGTTCAGTTTATAAAACATGTTAAAAAATAATCTGAACCTAAATAAATATGTGAAACATTTTGCTGATAGTCAAATATGCTGGTGAAAAAACAAAAATCTCATCTACGTATATGTGTGATAACAGAATCTCTGTCATAGATATGGAGCTTATTGCAGCAGTTTTTCATGCTTCTTTCCTAAACTCATGACTCACCAATAGGAAAGCAGTATTTTTTTTATGGATATGCAATGAAACATTGTGTTTCGGATGCTTTCCAAATGAAAGTGCACTCAGAATCATTATTTAAACTGAAACTAGACTCATTTGTGAATAATATGCAGGATCAGTTTTTTTTTTTTTTTTTTTTTGTCCCTTTTAGCTCCTTTAATGATAAAAATGGCACCATCTTACATGCTGTCTATTGGAAAAGGCAGAAAAGAGGATGTAAGGCAGTGAAATCATGTTCATGAAGCATATCTCCTTATTTAAGTATCATTGACTGTTGAGAAGTTCCAAGTCAACTATAGACAGTTCTGTAATAGTCTTCTTGTGCCAAAAGAAATGACAAATAATAGACTTCATATATCAGAGTTAATCTCAATAATAAAAAGAACGAGCTGTCCTTATTCTTAAAAGATGGCAAGATGATTTTAGATTTTTGAAATCACTTTAGATAATATTTAGCTTCCCCTTGAAACATTGAATTGTATCTGACACATTATCCGGCGATTGAGCACATGCCTCTTCTGGTCTTCATCTAAGTAATGTCTTTCAAAAATTATTAACAGCATCTGACTACTTTCAGAATTATCACAGTGTTTAACCAAACTATCTGCATGATATCAAATTTATTCATAGTATCACATGTAAGCCTTATTTGCTTATGTGATACTTAAGCTGAAAAGAATTTTATCGCATATGCACATTCAAGGTCTAGATAGTACTAGTTATGAAATGCTGAAGCATCTGTCTTTTAAGTCACTGACTGCCCTTCTTGCTGTTTAAGATCATGTGTGGAAAGAATATATTTTCCTCAGTGCATGGAAGAGAGCTGCTATTAATCGTATATGTAAGCCAGGGAAAGATCCGAAGAATCCCTCCATTGGACCATTGTATTTATGAGTTGCATATGTAAGGTGTTTAAAAAAAAGCTAAACAGCCACGTAATTTATTTCTTGGAAAAGAATAATATCATGTCTTATTAAAGTGGTTTTGGTAAAGGAAGAATGACCATGGATAGTATGCTCCTTTTGAAACATCAATTCATAAAGTCTTTGTAAGAAGAAACCATTTTTTTTTTGTCGTAAAGATAGCTTATGGTAAGGCATGGAGATATGGTATACTCCATGACCTTCACACCTTTGGATGTATGATAATCTGTCTATTTTCATTAAAATTTTTTTAGGGCAAGGACTTTTCAAATCAGGATTGGCCCTGTTTTATCAGATACCTCAAGGCTGTGTGCTCGGCATTACTTTGTTCAATTTAAAAAAATGGTCAGACATACAAAGATTTATATTTTCAAAACAGAAGACTGCATGCACTTCTGTAGAAAGTGAGTTCTCCATCCTGAGTCTGAGTTAAATCTTTATGGATTAGTGATTCCAATTGAACCTGAAGTAAAGTTTTTAGAACTGATGTTCAACCAAAAACTGACTTTTGTTCCTCATGTTTTACAGCTGAGGAAGAAGTATACCAAAATATTAAATTTTTTAAGTCTTGGAGAATACCTCCTGAAGCATAGAGTGCATTTACAGAGCGCTTGTCCGCTGTAGACTGTATGCTCTATACAATTCTTTATGAATCTCCATGGCTTTCAGTCTTGTTAAAATTAGATCCAATTCATCATCAGGAACTGCAGATTTATGTTCTGGAGCATTCAGGGCATATCCTGTCCAGAGCCTGTATGTTGATTGTTATGAACCATCACTCCAGTTGAGGCATGAGCAATTGTCTCTTCTGTATTATTTTGATATATTTTCTCAAACTGATCATCCTTTGCTTGATGACTTGTGTGATCTATTTGAAGCACTGCCATCTTGTGTACCTTCTTTTTCATTAAGAGCTCATTCTTTGATTGAAGAGCATTTCATGTCTGATGTTTCCACCGAAGCAGTGAGCATTTTGAAATCCCACCATGGAAGTATTCATATATCAATATTCTTGATGTTTTCCGCCATCATGACGAGAGAAACACTATCAAGGTCATATACAAACAGTGTCTTCAGAGAGGATGTTTGTGGTGTATGGAGAGATCTGAGTAAAGTTTCATATCAACAAAATGTTTGCTAATTGTAAGACAGAATTCTAATACGAAATATAATAGGTTTTATATGACTTGACAATAAAATATCAAGGTACTTTTCCGTTTCGCCGGCGCAAATCTCGCCAAGACGACTTTGTTGGCGATAACATACAGTATACACATAAAAAATGTTAACAAATGTTAATTCTAAACATTTTCTATTTTGAAGGCACAAACATTTTAATATGGTTTAAAATTTTGTAAAAAGCTAATAAATAAAGACAATAAATTTGTAAAAAGACATAATTTAAGAATTTACTATGCTTTCATGGTTCAAATTCCTGATTCGTAGGTTCGTATCACATGACCCCAAGTGATCTCATCTCACGTAAACTATGCTATAAAAATCTAATTCTCTCAGTAATTATGTACAGTAATTTCAAGTTAAATCTTAATTTGGAATACAATTTTAAATGCAAGAGTTATTTCAGTTCTTACGAATAGCTTACTGAGAAATTATGTAAAACCGCAGTGCTTTACTTCGCTAGTGCATTCTCATTATAATTGATGGATCTAACACTTGATTTTGCCTTTTCTATATTTTTGCCTTCGTGTGAACGGTGTGATTGCATTCTAATTGACTTAATTACCACGAATGGTCTTAGGGCATACAATTTAACTATCTTGTAAAAATTCTATGTAATTGTATGCCAGCATTCAAAGAAACAAGAAATGGCTGCGATTTGTTTTGAAAATGAGGCGTAAAAGGTTACCAGCGAATATATTCCTTTTGGCATCCAGTTGTACCATTATTGGCGACTTTATCGTTTGCGCCGGCAAAACGGAAAAGTACCAATATCAAAATTTGTTTATGCTCAGTTTATATAAAACGTACATGCGATGTGAGCAGTATGATTTGCAAGTCTCCTTTCTTTCAACATACAAATTTTTATGCATGTTCTGTGAAAAATTCTTTATAAATTAATATATTATAAAAATATAAAAACAGCTTTTTTAATTGTCATACTGTTAATCATATATGTGTCTTGCTATTGCTTGATGGAATTTTGATCAGCCTGAATGTAAGACAATGTTACATAAAACACTGGTGAAAAAAATGAAAGAAAGGGTTAACTATAAAAATTCTTGTAACTTGAATGTTTTTTCAGTAAGAACATAACACTTGCCCAAGATCTTTGTTATTTTATCATTCCTGACATGCAAATTAAAGCCAAAATGCAAGCTTTACAGAATTTTTTCATTCTGTGTGTTAGGAGTTTTTGCAATAAGAAAGTATATTCCTGATTAATAGAATCTTGAAGCTTCTAAGAGTGCTAGGTGGGAGGGTGCAGTGATGCAAGTTAGTGTCCTAGTGCATCCTACAAATCTTCTGTTGGATTAAAATCTAAAGAATATGTGGACGACTCCATCCTGTGGATTCCTTTGCTCTAAGATTGGCGGTCAATAGTGAAGTGGGATAAGATGAATATTATCATCCATTAAGAGGAAGTTATTACCAGTTGCACATCTAAACTACTTGACATATGGATTAAGAACTTCATCTCTATATCTTTCAGCATTCATAGTTGAATTAGTAAAATTGTGTAGCTCAGTGCACCCATTCAAAATGATGCTCACCCATATCATTATACTACCACCTTTATACAGATGCTTTTCACAGATGTGTTCATGATTATTACATGTGTTTTGATCTCTTCAGGTCTGGAATGCATCTGGAATTGCTTTCCAAACAAAAGTGATGCTCGTAAGATTTAAGTTTTAGTTTATGGCACTCCAATCAAGATGAACTCTGCCCCACTGCAAGTGAAGGTTTTCCTTGCATGCAGCTTTCTTCTGGCAACCTGCCATTCATGATACCTACAGCTAGGTTAGTTCCTATAGCTGTGCCAAACTCCCTTGCATTCTGAAGTAATGTCAGTTGTCTATTTTTTTTAGCAAATGGTGCCAAATAATGGTCTTGAGAGTATGTTGTGGAACATTTTTTACCTTGATCTAGTTGTCTGCGTACAGTGCAGTGTCTTTAAACTATTTCCAGATTCTGAACAGAATGCTTTGACTTAGGTCTTTACAGATCTGTGTCTGTCTGGCAGCCATTTTTTCCAACTGCATGCCATTTTCACAATCTATCATTGCCTTCTCAATGATGTATTTCGCTTTCCACATACATATAAAAATTTTATTCATCTACTTGTCCAGTCTTTGAAATCAGAATTTGATGCCTCCACTTATACTTCTTTTCACATACCCCAAAAGCTTGGGACAAAAATTTGCATATTTCTGTGTAAAAAAAAAATCCTACTGGACTACCTGATAACGTTGATCTTGAGGTACCAACCACCTACCTGTTACTGGATTCCACTTAATAGAAATAACATAAAGCAAATTTTTATTGTAGTTCCTTTAATTTTCTCAATATTATAAGTCGTGGCAATTTCTAGCTACAGATGATGCCATTAATTTCTGATACAAATTCATAATTTTAGCACTCCAGCGGAAATTAATTTCAACCTCTTATTCACAAGAATACAGAAATCCATCAAAAATGTTGATAACATATGATATATGTCATCATATAACATTGCATATATTTGTGTTATCTCAAGCTTGTGATGCTTTTTGGGTAAAAGAAGATATACAAGTTAGTACCCTTATACAGAATGTGTACTTGAAATAGAATAATGATTTGACTTCAGTACCCTTATACAGAATGTGTACTTGAAATATAATAATGATTTGACTTCACTTGCACAGTCCTACAAGATTCCATATGCAGTATGCAGTTAAAACATGAATACTTGCACTAGTTTCAAATTTAGATTAAGCAATAAATCCTAGGGTATTTAGTGAACATAAGTTTCTTTCATAAAAATTTTACATAAAACCAAAGAAAAAATTATTTTACTATATTCTGTGCACTGTTGTGATGACCGTAATATTTTTAATAAACTGTGCAGTTGAGTTTACAGATATAAATGTTCAGAAAGGTAGGAAGATTTTATGTATACATTTGCCAAAATATGTAAGGGACTAAATTCTTTTTGCCTTTATTTTGATCAGTTAATACAGAATTCATGTGAGTAGTAAAGCCAATGTTTTAGAAGAAATGTAATTCTTTTTTAATGAATAACTATTAAGTACAAATTGTTGTGTCTTAAGATATGCTTTAATTTTACAATTTTATTTCAGTTCATTTCAGAATTCATTTGAACAATTTAGAATGGCTTCATCATCTACCAGCATTGAAAATAACAATGAATGTGATAAAAAAGAAGAAAAAACAAGGTATAAAAATAGACTAGCACTGGAAAGATCTCCATATTTATTACAGCATGCATCTAATCCAGTTGACTGGTAAAATATTGCTTATTTGTTATATGCTCATATTTGTTATCTGATATATGTATAATTATGATGATAATGTCAGAGGTCTTTATTATGTCATTATCAACTTGTAAGTAACATACGGTTAAACTTTGATTAGCAAAAACCGAAGAAAGCAGAAAACTAGTTTGAGTAATAAAATTTGATTACAGAGGAAAATTAATGTTAGTTTCAAATTTTCATTTAGGCATTCAGTTCAAGTATTCAGGTCTTTTGTAAATTTATACAAATGCTATACTTTAAATTGAGAAAGTGGTTAACAGAGGGTTAACTTTTATTATAAACCATTCTTCTAAATCTGCTGAACATATTTAAATACTAATTTCTGGGGGTTGTTTGAGTTTTCTTAGAATAAACCTGTGATTCCTTGGTGTTAGCTTAAAATGTGTTCCTGACTCCAGTGCATTTTCAACAATTCCATACAATTTCCATCATTTTATTACATGAAAGATAGTTAAATGCTTTATATCGACAATTTTTAATATGTCTGGAATACTTTTGCCATCTGTAAAAAGAATGGTTATTAAATTTCTAACAGACTTGTTCATTAATTTGTAGCATCTTGCCATGTTCACTTCAGATGTAAGTCTAATAATATATTTTGCTAAACAAGTAAAAATTTCCAAATGTACACAATTAATTTTTATGATGTATTTTCATTTGAAACAAAAAATTATAGTGAGAAACGTTGTGTACAAAAACATTTCAATGAAACTTTGGAGTGTCCATTAGATTTATTTTCTGCTGACCATTGCAGCTGTAAATTCTCATTTTAACAGTACCCATTATTTTTATTCTTTAATTGGCTTGAAATTACTTTTAATTGTAAACATAATCACTTGAATCCAAATATTTATTTATTTATTTTTTTGTGAAAGTCATAAAACATCCTGCAAATATTCTTTGCATGGTGTTTGCTGTCATTTTTGTAGCATAAGCCTTTGATACAATAGTTTCCAATGTCAGTTCTTCTTCTTGAGGTTGAGTTTGTCAGGTATAAGGCACCTCTGCCTAAATAGCATTTTGTGCTAAACGTACTAAACCCAGTGCTTCCTAGCCCCAATTGTTTGGGTTATACCCACTTTATTTATAAAGTCTAACAGCCCCTTAATAGAGCTGAGGTTTAATTTCTTTTAGTATTGAAAATACTTAAAGTAGTCAATGTTACCAGAAGTTCAAGGCCAGTAGCCTGTTCCTCTAATAAACATTTCCAGGATGTCCCTGAATGAGTACAGCCATCTTGACCATGTAAGAGCCTCTCTGAAGGTATAACTTTCAGGTCTGTCTCTTTTGGCAATCTTCAGGGTTGTATTTTGCTCCATCCTTTGAAATCGCTTTTTTCACCTTTCCGTTGGATTTTTTCAACCCAAGATTTTCAATTCTTGGGCATCTTTCTTTTCTTTTCTCTTTTTCTTTCTTTCTTTCTTTTTTTTTTTCCCCTTCTTTTTTTTTTTTTTTTTTTTTTTTTTTTTTTTTTTTTGTGCTGCAGACATTTACTTTTTGATTTTGATTTTATCTAGTGAGGCAGCATGCTTTTGATAGCTCTCTTTCCTTCTCCAGATGTTGACTGAGTAACTTGGATAGAGGTCATTTCTACCTCATGCGATGAAGGACTAATTTGTGCTCCTTCGATTGATTTCTTCTGGATTTCTTTGTTTTGAGAAAAAAGGTCTACCTCAGAAGTTTTGCCTGCAGAAGCAAAATTTCTAGTTATGTTCTAATTTTCAGCCTTATATAGACTAGAAAAGAAAGTACAGGATAAAAAAGGACCATCCAGTATTGCCTGTTGCTGGGTAAGGTAAAATACTCTAGAAGTTGCCAGACATTCTAGAGGCTCCGTTAAGACACTAGAATGTGTACCTAGGATGAATGACATATGCAGTGTCATAGGCATGGGTCACATAATACCAGGGTTACAGGAGGGGGTTCACGGCTTCTTATTCAAAGCATCTTGTGAGATAATACAGGACATCTGGCTATCCACCACCTGTTGATGCACCTGGTAGCCACTCAAGTAATGCCAGTTACAATTCCAGTAGTAATTTTGAAATTGCTTTAGTGAGTGAATGATTTTATAAACCTTGATTTGATAAATTGATAAAAATAAACTCTTCCCCAAAAGGCTGCAGTTTAGTTACATAACTATCAATTTAACTGCATTCTTTTATAAAAGTGAAGTCTGCAATATCTTTCAGAAGCATTCAAAGAAAAATAATTTGTATGACTTAATTCAGTCTCTATTTTCCCAGATACTTTTTTTCTGACAGTTTCTATTGTGATACAAATGTTCTAAGTATTCTTTATATTTTGATTCAGCCAAAGATTAGCAGTGCTGCATGCTTTGCATTTTTATCAGTAATACCAAAAGGACAAAAAAAAAAAAAAAAAAAAAAAAAAAAAAAACTGTTTTCAACATTTAGGAATTATATTACATTTTCGTGATAATATTAATAGCAGATCTGATTAATTTAAACTTCTTTCCTTTGAATGATTCATTGAAGGTGGAAGCATTTGTATTTATGTTTACATGAAATGAATTTACTGTGTTGTTTACACTGAAGTCCTTTTTACTTCCTTGTACGAAGTAAAAAGGAATTATTGTAAACACGAAACGTTTCAGGCATCATATTTCAACGAAAATATCCATTTTGACCGCTATCGAATGCAATTTAATGATGTTTTTGCATGACATCTGTACATAAGAACAGAATAAAAGATTATTTTCTTTCCAAAAAATTATAAAACTGATTTAAAATGAATTCTGAAGAGAATTTTTTTCTTTTGCATTCAAATTTTTGATCCACCAACATGTCACTAGTTTAATAATGCATGAAAAACAGTGAGCATGTATTTTAGAATAAAGGATATAGAAGCATGCTTTGAAGATTATATGATGCACATAACACAAAAATAAATATGCAAAGAATAATTAGTCTTTAGAACAAAAAAAATATGTAAAACCAAAGAAATGAGAATTCTTGTTCACTCATCCAAAATCATAGCAATCTGAAATGTTACTTTTTGTTATTTATATATCAGTATCAGGGTCTGTATGATTTCTGTTATTCACAAGTGAAATTCTGTGTAGGTATCCTTGGGGATCTGAAGCTTTTGAAAAGGCTGTTCATGAAGATAAAATGATCTTTCTATCAGGTATGTGTTATAAAATTTTGGATGATAATGATAATAGTGCTAGTGCATAAATTGATACCTTTTATGTTTAGTGAAGTATTTTTAAAGTAAATATATTTTGCTTTTAGCATAAGAAGTGCATCTGTTCTTTAATAATAATAAACATTTTTTTCAAATATTCATAATGTAGTAGTCAGTAATAAAGAGAAATGACAGTCTTTGTTAGCTGGACGAATGCAGACATAGGAAAAGGATATTATGATATTAATTATTGATTTTAATGTTATTATATTTCTAAGCAAACACGGAAATATCCCTCCTCGTGATTGGATGTCGGTTCCGATGACATCATTTCCTCTCCGCTTAGGAACGCCTGGACTTTGCCTGGGCTCGAGGGTACAACACCATACCGTTCGTTTACCTTCTGAGTTCAGAAAAGATTATTACGCGTGTTGTATTTTTGTTGCTATGAGATTACACTTACGACAATGTGGTGAATTTAATATAAAAAATGTAATTTATTTTCCCTAGTGAAAGAAAGCATTATTTCTTCTTGTGCTAACTCTGTAAATATGTATTAATAATATTAAGTGCAGAAAATTTTAATGAATGTCTTCATTTAAAACCCTTCATCTTAAAAGTGCTGTAATTATTAATTCATTATTTCATGTTCATTTCATATCCATTTTCTGCAGATGCAATCTCTGAAAGCAAGATACAAGTCACTTTTCGGAAATAACAGAAATGATGTTGGGAGCTAACAAAGTACAGAGTAAATTCATAAAATTTATTTCTGAAGTTAGACTAATATAGATTTGGAACAGAGAAATAGTGATATGTACAGTAGACTCCCGATTATCCGCAGACGGGTTATCCGCACCTGACGCACATTTTTTTTTTTTTTTTTTTTTTTTTTTTTACAAGGGTAAAGCAAAGAAAATAAAAATGTTCATGAAACTGAGCGAAACGTTAAATTTGCTAACATCATGCTTATTTATGGCAAAAATATCCCAGGCCTTCTCGGAACCTTCCCCTCTGATGAGTAAGTGATTTCTTACTCATTCTTGCAGTGCCCGCTCCACCCCCCTCTCTCGTCTTAATCTTACTGACACGTCCACTTCCTCCCACTCGCCATTGTTAGTTTAAGCCTGATAGTGTTTGCCAACCGGTCGGAGTTAATTATTGAGTTCAGTGCTTGTGCTTTTTGGTTTTGTTTTTTCGTTACGATTTAAAATGTCAGGAAAACGAAAGAAAGTTATGTTGACGATTGCGCAAAAACTAGAATTAATTTCCAAAGTAGCAAACAGCGCCACATGGCAGCAGATGGAATTGGATTACGGAATCGCGGAACAACAATGTGTGAGATTCTAAAGCAAAAAGACAAACTGGTGAACTTTGCATCAATGTCGGACAGTGCTTCCGCAATGAAAACGCGAAAAACTATGAAGGGTTCTACCTTTGATGAGCTAGATATGGCATTGACAGAGTGGCTAGCTGAAGTTCGAAAAGAGGGTACTCCTGTAAATGGTCTTATCATTGCGGCAAAGGCAAAAACCTTTTTTGAGTTGTTAGGCCTGAAAGGAAATTTTGATGCATCTTCTGGCTGGTTGACTCGTTTTAAGCAGCGATATGGAATTCGAGAATTTGGACTTCATGGGGAGAAACTTAGTGGTGACCAACAAGCAGCTAACGATTTCCACCATGGATTTGAAGAATTTGTTTTAAAAGAAGAGCTATCTTTTGAACAAATTTACAATGCCGACGAATACAGTACATATGTATTAATTTTTCTATGTATCCTTGATGCCTCTCGTAAGTACAAAGCACTTTTCTGTTTTCATTAACAAAATACATTTTAGGTTAGTTTTGAGTGATATACTAAAATATTAAGCGTTAGTTAAACATTTCCTGCTGTTTATTTCACGTTTTATTGTTCATAAAATGATTTATCAAAGTTGGAATGACTGTTTTCTCTTTTGCTATACCCATTTTTAGCTTTTTTCGGATTATCCGCGGCGGCCACGCCACCCAATTCCGCGGATAACCGGGAGTGTACTGTATTTTAATTTGATTAATATTTCTTTGCCGATTTTGTAATGTGTAACATCTTTTGTACCTTTGCATAAAAAAGTGTTTGTCAGAGAAGGCAGTTTCTTTTCTTGTACACGTGTATTGAATTCAGCAACGGCACTGAATGCACTTTTTTCTTTCTTTTAAAGGAAATGAATATTAGAATGACATGGACATTAACATAGAAATAACATAACATTTGAAAAATAAGTATTTTCTGCAATGTGATAAGAACAGAGTGCAACAAAATTTCAATAATAATATACTTTTTAGCACACAATGCCTATATAGTTGGATCAAGATTGTCATGTTTTGGTTTTTGCAGTAAATTCATGAACTCAGCTATTTATAAAATCTAAATGCTTAAGATTGCTTCTGATATTAACAGCATCTTTGAAAGATTTTATAATTTTATAATTTCATGAAACAACAAGCCATATTCAGAATGCTACAGCTAAATTTTTTCATTTCAAAGAAAATAAACGATAATTTTCACGCTTCCGTCTCATTCATGCAAGTCATTTATCGAAAACAAAACCGTAAGAATCCTGTCTAAACATCATTACATGACAGAAAATGATGTCATCGGAAAGAATGTCCAATCACATGTATGGATTTTTCCCTATGCGCGTGGTGCGGTATAGAATGCTTATATGCATCCAATCAAGAGATTTTTTGTTGCTTGATATATATTAGCTTATAATAAGATATTTTACTTTCTTACTTTCGTTAATAATATATATGTCATCTTGATGAATGTAAGTTTAGGAAAATACACACTAAAATTGGTAAATATACATATTTACGTAATAAAGGCTCTTTAAATACATTTTTTCATGGCATATCCAAAAACCTGGGCCACTTAGAGGGTTAACCCTTTGTGGCTCAGTGTTCCACTACATGGAACACCCAAATTGAATCGTATCTGAAACCTTTAAATTCAACTGTAAATAGATAAAAATGCCTTTATAATATACTTTGAACTTTTCTTTTTAAACAGTAGATAGCAGCATATCACAAGGAGACACAGAATTTTCATTTATTATGTGTTATTAAAATCCACTTTTTTCAAGTAATTTTCTCTATTTTTTAATGATATAAAAAATTTTATTTGGAAAAAAAAAATAGGCATAATTTTGCTGGCTGTACTCCAAATTATTTGTTCTATATTTTTTAAATCTTTCATACAAAAACCATACGCAGAATCATTGAAATATTAAGAGTTAGTTAAACATTTCCTGCTGTTTATTTCACGTTTTATTGTTCATAAAATGATTTATCAAAGTTGGAATGACTGTTTTTTCTTTTGCTATACCCATTTTTAGCTTTTTTCGGATTATCCACGGCGGCCGCGCCACCCAATTCCGCGGATAACCGGGAGTGTACTGTATTTTTAAATTGTTCCATTAGCGGGAACACTGCGCCTTTAGCGATCTCATGCTGTTACGAATCAGAACATCTGTGCTTAGGAGAGAACATCCGTTGTTTATGTTTTCTGTTTCCGTTGTTTGGGGAGGGGGATGAATTCAAACAAAGCAGTATTGAGGGCTGAGGTGTGTTTTGTGTTATGAAAGTGTTAGCATAAATTTAGGTATTTTGCATAATGAAACTCGAAAGGCATACGAAACGGACGTGCGCCAAGATATATGTTGGCGAGAGAAAGTAAAGTTTGTGTGCAATGCAGTATATTTGATTCTCACCTTAGCTACTTGTACCTGGCCAAAGGTCTAATTCAGTTAGTGCTTTATCATTCAGGTACTGTGTCAGCGTATGTTCCTGTTTCTCTTTTTAATTGCCTAAATAGGTAAGCATGATGATATTTAGGGCTGATGATTATTCTATGTAAGTTATTCTTTTCAGTACTTCAGTGTTTTAATGTCTGTGATGATTGTTACTTTAATTGGTGTTCTACTTAAGTTAAGCAAAATTCTCCTATTTTATATTTAAATAAAGATTTCATAGTTAATTTTTTGACTTGTGATTCTTTAATGAAAACTGCGCTTGAGGAAACTTACTCATTACGCCTTCAGTGCTAATGCACAAACCAACCGAAAGCCCTAATATTGGCATCTCGAATTTTTTGGGAGTAGTTTTTAGACGGGAATTTTATTAGTAGCTTGACTCATCTTTACTTAGACCTGCGCAAATTTTTTGCTGTCGCTTTTTAGTCTCATTCCCATTTATTTTCAATAACTGTGTAGATATTTTTCATGTATGTATATATTATAGGCTTATTTTTCTTTATTGTTAATATTAATCATAGTTAATTATTTTAATTGTAGTTGGTTTGTGCTTCCATCAAAAAGGTGTGACTTGCTTTGAACAATTTCACAAAGCTAAGAAATAGGAAAATTTGTAAATATTTTGGTATATAGGACTTGTGTGTATAGATATCTATCTCATTTATCCATATATATTCAAGAATATTGTGTATATCCTAGAAACCATGTATACAGCCATAATACAGAGTTTTTCATTCTTATACAAACGCTTCTACTCATTTTCGTGCTTCACTGCAATGCTCGCTTAGTCGCACTTTTAAAAGCTCTGGTGGCGCAGTGTTCCACCTCATGGAATACCCACAGAATTAAAACGGTAAGTGCAAAATTTTACAAAATTTTACCTGTATACTCCTTTAGGACTAAATAGACTGCATACAACTTTTTTGTTGAAATTTCAACGTTAACGTATAGTACGCTGCAAAGGGTTAAGCAATATGATTTGTATTCTACAACAATTATAGAACAGGGATTAATTTTGAAATGATGCACTTCCTAAAGATTTTGTTTTTAGAACTGCACTTCTGTTTTTAGAACAGAAAAGAAAAAGAACAGAATTAAATGGAAAACTTTAAGGGCTACTATAAAATACAGTTTTACGAGACAGGCATACATACATAAATACACAAATATTAATATGTGAGTGTAGGGGGATTTCAATATAAAAAATAA